CATTGGCTTGTTTAGCTAATTATTATTTTAAATTAATTTTTAAGGTTAAGTAAGCGATTAAACCATTAACGATGAACGTTAAAAGAGACAACGTTTATAGAAGATGCGGAAAAAATAGTAACGAGGTAAATTTAAGTATATTATTTTAATTTAATTTGATTAGTGGTTCTTCGATTTGTTAAATTACAAATGAATATAAAAAATGTAGTTCCCACTATTCGACCTTTTGTTTCTGTCTTCGTTAATTCCGAGTTCTAAGTAGGGTCGTGACATTTCCAAGATACGGGTGTAAACTAGGATATCATCATTAGAATACAAATACAAATTTCTGGAGGAAAGACTGAAACACCTCGTTGATTAGTGGCTGAAATGTAGTTGGTGCGTTGGTCAGTCTGAATGGCATAACTAGAAATTCGTAGTGACTCTCTTAAGTTTGAAATGCAGTCTTATATATATCCATCAACCACATCCGAATCTGATGGTATTCTGACTTCAAGTCAGACTTGAAGAATACCGCAGCCCCAAAGAAATTATCAATATGCTTGTAAATGAGTCGAACATGAGCGAACCTAAAGCATGTTCGTGTTTGGCTCGTTCAAAATTTTTTGTGTTCTAAATGAGCTCATGCAAGCAACGAGCGGAAATGTCAGGGGCACCTACATACTACTCGATTCTTATGTATTTTACATATAATATCACAACTGAAAAAATTAAGGGCGGGCAGTACCTGTGATTTTTTAGGGAAAATCTCACAGCATTTACATACATACCAACCAACTCTTTTTTATTTAAATATAAAATTCCTAAATCAAGAAATGGATTTATTTTGGAGACATTTATATAAATACCATCGAAATACTATTTATTTGCATATCTAATGCCTCAACTTATGTTTATTATAACTAAACCACCCAAATAATTTTTAAAAAATAATAAAATTTAATACATATAAAAGAATAATATAAAAAAAGATATAAATAGATATTATTGTTCAATTATTTACTTATGTCGGGTCAAAATAAATCGAACGCGAGCGAACAATCCTTTGTTCGTGTTCGACTTATTTATAAATTGAGCTTAAAATAATTATTTGTGTTCGGCTCGTTTGCTTAACGGACGAATTGAACACGAGCTATTCGCTAACGACGAGCTTTTTTGATAGTCCTACGCATCTAGTAGCTCTTCGATTACTGAGATTAGAAGTTTTTCAGGTATCGTTTCTTTATTCACTACTTGATAATCCACACAAAAATGCTAACTCCCTTTCTTTTTCATTCACTAACAAGAATGGGCTAGAGAAGGGCCTCAGACTAGTTTGCATGATCCCCACCTCTAAAATCCTCGATCTCATCCTTTTGTACTTGGGGGTAGCAGTATGGGCACATAGTAATGGGAGAGATTCTCAATCTCGGGTTAATTGCATATACATGCTCCTTAAGATGTAGCAATATGCTTGACAACTAGAAAATTTTTATAAAATTATTGTATAAGTTGTTGGATTGGTGTTAGAACTCTGCCAATTTCGTATCACGTGTCTATTTAATGTTATGCAACTTGATCAAGAATCTTAACTTTGCATTTTGATAACCCTAATCATGGTCTTGAGTGTCACTAAGGTCTTGCTCAAAGCAGGTCATTGTGAAGCACCACCATCTTATTCCCCTCTTGAAACTTCATTATCAGGAGATTCCAATTCATCTTAGTTTTCCCTAAAAATCGCATTCATGTCATACCCAATATCATGGCATTGCTCTTTGAATTTAAGGGAAGGAAATTCTCATTCACTTGAATATCTTGCAATGTTAAAATCACCCATTTACAAAATCTCGTGCTCTTCACCTATTTCGACCCCATGATTCTAAAATTTTTCATGTCAACCATCTCAAGCCCTGATTGCTTCACTTGATTAGAGATGAAATTTTGGGTGGCCCTACCATCTACCAAGCCGCTGCTTCCTACTCTTTGATTTGTCCCTAAAGTTTTATAATGTGGTTCGGTATTAATCCCACTGCTGAGTTCAATGAGACTTTTGCCACATCTGAGTGAGGGTGTTCCTCGACCATAACCTCCTCTGCTTCTTCATACCCTATCTTGTCTTCACACACTCTGAGAATCTGTAAGGCCTGATCCCTGCAACAGTATCATGAGGCAAACTTCCCATCACTCTAAAAACATAACCCCTTGGCTTGCTTTTCCTGAATCTCTGTCTTTGTAAGACGTTTGAATTTCATCACTGATTGTGGCCCCATTATTCCTGTCCCGTGAAGCCTCTCTCTGGAATCTCATTGTTTGAGTTTTTGGTATCATCGTGGTTGTAATATTTTGGTATGATGCTCTACTTGTGTTGCTTCTATTAGCCTGCTTCATACTTTCATTACATTTTTATTTTCAACCAGCTGCGCTAATTTTATTGTTTTCTCTAATCCATGTGGTCTCAACAGATGAAGCGATGCTCGAATTTCTGGCCTTAATCTTTTCATGAAGTTTCCTTCTAACACTTCTTCTGATATTCATTCCAAATAGTTAGATAACATCTCAAATTTCTCTATATAATTCATGATTGACCCTTCTTGGACCAATGAAAAAAACTATTGGTGTAAATTCTTCTCTTATGTTGTTATGAAACACTCCAATAGTTTGTCCTTAAATTCTTCTTATGTTCTGATTGGTTGACATTGTTTTATCCATTGATACTACGCTAAAGCCTCTCCTTTCAAACACAGGGTCGCTGTAGTTGAATTTTTTTTTTCTCCATCAACCCATTAATAACAAAATATCTCTCCGCCTGATAAACACAATCATAGCCATCATCTCTTTCAAAAATAGACATCTTATCATCCTTATGCAAGGGTATCCACCCTAATTTTATTGATAGAAGCTCATTCCACCATGAAACGGGGGTTGGGTTCCCATCCTCGACCCATATTAATTCCCTTTCATAACTTATGTTCCCCCTATAATCAACTCGTTCGCCCTTATAGGCTCCTCCTAAATCGCCTTTCTCTTGGAAGGCTGCTACAACAAAAGGCATAGGCACAGTTGGATGCGGCCCTCTGTCGGGGTCTGACCCGTCATGGTTCCTTGTTACATGCCAAAATCATTGAATTGATCTTCTTCAACTCCATATCGTATGATGTCCCGTTTCGTTTGTAGTCTCTAGTTCCAAACTTTTAGATTTCGTGGAATTTCTTTTAGATGTTGCCGCTCGAATCCTCTCTCGACTCCTTCGTTCGATCTCACCTATTTAGTTTCAACCGTCCAGATGTTGCGTTATTTCTTTCAAGTGTTATCGCTCGAGTTTGCTCTTGATTCTTTGGCTCGATCCCACGCCTCTAAATCTTCTTGAGGCAGCAATGATGCTTTGATGCCACACGAATCCTTATGATTGTTGCCACTCTTGTCCATCCCAGACGCCTTAGCTCAATCACGTGGTGGACAGAGCTTCAAGATATTTTTTCATCATTTCTTCCAGAGCCATGCATTTCTCCTCCGCGGACAAGAACGACCCCTCATGGTCGAGGAATGCTCTTCCATTTGTGATTTGATTTGGCTCGGCTGTCTCTAATTTATCTTCCATGACAACTACTTTTTGGTCGCTACTCCCAAGACGATTTTTACTAATGAAGGCGGAACTACGTACTGCGCGATCTCATTTTTGTTTTCCTAGCTAGCTCGAATAATAATTGTATATTGAGGTTCGATCTCGAAGGGGTAACTTTGTACACCATGCTTCTATCTTTGGCTTCCCAGCTAGCTCGGTTCGTGACTATGTTGTGAGGTTTGGTACGCCGCGATTTTGTCGTTGGTTGCATGGCTAACTTTTAGTGTTTAGGGTTACTTCGTAAATTCCATCGATGGCGGCATGCATGAGATGGCTAGTGGCGGTCGGTGGAGTTATTGCCGAGTCTTCAGTCCAGAACATCACTTGAAATAAATTTCCTCTTTTCCTTCCTCCCTCTCCTCCAAGTGAAAAGAGGAGGTTTATTTACTGCCCCTGGAGGAGGCGCATTTTCTTCTTTTGCTGAATAACCACCCGATCGAATGACCCATGTTGATGTCCCTTGATCATAGTAGATGTTTTAATGATCTGATGGCATTAATGATCTCATAATCATGTGATCTTTGGCTCGTTGGATTCCTCCATCGAGATGCTCGGTTCTACCACAGGTACATCAAATTTGGAGTTCGTTTGACCTCCAATTAACCACCCAAAGCTTCCAAAAATGGTTTAATGTTTTGATCCGAGCTTGATTTGGCTTGCGTTGGATGAATTTTGTTATTATTGTTCGTCTCATCGAGCCAGTCAATTTGACTCTATGATTGCTGAAATCAGAGCTCTGGATAATTTTTTAATTTGAATCAGAACATTTATTGGTAAAAAAAATCCTTGAGATTCATGCTAAATTCCTTGAGATTCGTGCCTGAATCACTATCAAATTTGACTAACTTGGATATGAATCGACCATGGAGACTTAACGTGAGGCAAAAATTCCAAGGTTTCCTTTCTACATTTCAATTCTGTGATTCCTTTTAGTGCTTAAAATTTGGCTGAGATTATTTTCAAAGCAAGCTATGATATTTTGATGTGTGAGAACAAATATAACAATTATGAAAAAAATCGAGGAAAAACAGATACAATTTTTAGTGCATCTGATTATGATAAGCAAGGTCAGAAAGCTTTGACTTCATGACGATTCGATTCTTTAGTAGATTTTCCACAGAATTCAAGAAAAAAAAATAGTAAGCTTTTCCACAGAATTCAAGTAAACAAATGTGTTCACTCTCCAGAGATACCGCTTGTTTGGTATAAATGATGGTCTAACATCTGAGGACTGCATCCCAGCGAAACCCAGTCATCAAAAGGCAGTAGAATGACCTAATAAGTCAATGAATTTAATAATTTGTTATTTATACACTTTATTTTCAGATTGGTTGCTACAAGAAAATAAGGCCTGAGCGATGCACGGTAGTGAATTTATTATTTCTTGTTTGCTTTGCAGACTTCAGCAGTACAAGATAGCGGAAATGAAACTTCTGGCACAACAGAGAGATCTTCAGGTATTCTCTGCTAAACATCCTCATATTTTCTTTGCCAGGCTTCTCTTTCAGGATTTTAATTAAACTAATTAGATGGAATGAATTTTTAAGAATTAATTATGCCTTAGGAGTTTTTTTATCTTAGAAGGCTTTTGGGAATCTGCTCACACTAAAAAGTTATGCATGATTGCAGTAAAAGTCTATTTAGTACTGAAAAAACTGAATTGTTATTTTTTATATAACCATAGGCAAAAATACCTGATATTGAGAAATGCTTGGGTATTGTTTCCACCATACAAGCTAAGAAGGGTACTGGTGAGGTATGGAAATCATTTTGAACCATTCAATTTTTATTGTGTTTTTCATTCAGCAGCCTTATTTATGTTGCCATTCTATTCTTTTCCAAATGAACAGGCTTTTATTTATTTTTAAGCCAAATCCTTTTTTGCTTTGAGTTTTCATACTTGTAAATTAGTTTGAAACTATTGCTTTTTGGGAGATCCGTGGAGCCTTTATTTCATGAAATTTATTTAATTCTTTTACTGATAGATATTTGTACATCGCATTTGTAATGTCAATTATTGTTCTAAAGTTAGGAATCAGATCAAATATTAGCTTCAAAAGTCAGTTGTTTATTCTTTGATGATTTGGCATCACAAGTATTATGTATGTGCATCCTTGGGAAAAAGTATATCCAATGTGGTTTGGTGAACACCTTGGCAAACAAATCAATAATTAAAAATATCTGTATTGAGGTTGCTTTAATTATCCCTGATAATCAAAAGTAAACTCATCCTGACCTTCTCTTTAGGTTGAGTTTATGTTTTCCTTATCATTTTACTAAATTTTATGGTTTATGATCTAATTGAAGGCCTTGGGCTGTTTATTTTTCTTGTTGTGCTGCTAGCCACAAAAACATGTGCTATTTTCAATTTCAGACTTGTTCCTCTGTTTGCACTCTGGTTGTGGTAATGATTAATGGTAGTGAAGTCTTTTGGTGCTCTCTTTTTGCCCATGGTCTGGTTTCGTCATCTTTGACAGTTAGTGATACAAATTGGAAAGTCTTTATTCATTGTGATTTCAAATATGTATTGATCTTAGCTTTTGTTTCCTAGTTCATTTCTATATAAAACTTGACAATGATGATGTTATTGAGAACTGTTGTGCTCGCTGATGTTTTGATTACCTCTTTACATTTAGTTTCTTAATTCAAGTGTTTTAATTCAACACTTGGATTCCTTAGTTTAGCCATTTCCAATTTGCTATTTTAACTCGTCTGGTCCTTCACTTCTTTCCATGCTTTGTTTGAGAATTCACCTTACTTGTGTGGAATTGCTGCAGAATTTCCTTTTGTAGAATTGCTGCTGTAGTCTTTCTTTTTGCGGCTCTTTTAGTTAACCGTGTAGCAAGTTATTAGACCTTGACTTCTATGGCTCGTGGGGACTGGAGAACCTAGCTATGGTATTCTTATATGAGGAGCACTAGCTTTTCAGAAATGTAACTTGCACGGTTGCTACCATCTATACCTTTTATGAACAAAGTTTTATTTTATGATTGAAGTCACATGTCTTTTGTTCCTTTCTTCCTTTATTTTTTATGTCCACCGTATCTTGGACTAGGTGGAATCCAACATATTGAATTGGAACTTGCAATTTTATACTACATTGAAGCAGATTAAGAGATTTTTTTTTCCTTACTTTCTGGTCCTTAATGGTTATAAATAGGATCCTTAAAGTATGCTAACTTAATTAAATATTGAATTTTTGCGATAAAAATCATAATTCCTTTTCTTAATTTGAACTTGGCCATTATTGGAATTTTATATTCGTTCATTTCTTTTCTTGTGGAATTGCTAAATTTGCGACTATTCAGTTATTATTTGGTTTAAAAGAATTTGTGTTTGTTGGTTTTACATTTAATATGATCGTATTTTTGTAAAGTTTAGAATTGATAATTTGCAGACTTTATTTTTTTTTATTTTTTATTGTCATCTTTGTTTAAATTGCATTAGTAACCCTAGAATCTTAACTAGCCTATATCAAATTGGTATCAAAGCACATGATTATGGCTTCGTGCCAACTAAAGCTAATACATATTAATTGGGTCAATCAAAAAACCAGGTGGTCCCAATTCAAGTTGAGGAGTTGAGTTCGGATATGATAGAATTTAAACCAAACATCTGCAAGAATGATGCTTCCCTTAATTTTATGTGCAAATTTCCCATACAAAGATATGAAGCCGCATATGAAAAGAGTTTTCCAGAGTTATTGTCTAGGCTGATATTCTTAGAAAATTATGTTGATCATGGGATATAGTTACTGTCATTGATTATGGACTGAGCTATGCAATTAGGGAACCTACTAAACTTCCAACCTATGAAAATTTTCGTACTGAGGCTTTCAAAACACATATAAGTGCAATGTTAGTAGATGAACAAATTTATGCCCTGGGAGAACTAATGTATCAGTGTTATTATAGCTATAGTTACTTTGGACGTGGCTCTGTTGGAATAGACATGTTTGTCGATTTAGTGCAAGAAATACAACATCATAGCTCACCCAAGTATACTACTTTAGTTGGTGCAAAAATTACTGGAGGCGGCTTAGGAAGTAGTGAGGTATTGTATGTGGTCGGAAGAAAATTGCAAAGCAGAACACGAAATATCAAAAATAGGTTAACGAATACAGAAAACAGAATACTTATGATCTTTAATAAATGTGGTTTGGTGCAAATCAGGCTGAAAGAGTGATTCATTGTAGATGCATTTGAAAAGTTGACGCCTTTAGCTGACGACCAATTCTGGATTGTTAAGAAGATTAATGACAATGCATACAAGGTTATTGGCTAGGAGACTTCAACATTTTGGCTACCATTAATGTTTTTTCTTGCTACCATTAGCATCTCAGACTTGTCTTCTTACTATGAGAAATCCTATCCTGTGCTTGACATACCGAGAATTTTCTTGCCTAGGCTATGCCGTTACATGATTTTTCCCACCCGAAAAGGTGGACCAGTTGTGTGGGACCTTATTTTATATTACTTTGAATTAGAATTGGGTTATTTTTGCATAAAAACTATTTATAGACTTTTGCTTTGGTTTATGCATTTGGAGACCATGTTCTCTAATATTTCTGCCCTAATGAGTGCTATATTATCTTCTTGTTGTAAGTGGTGCGTTAGTACCTTGTTCAAGAATAGTTGGTGAATATCCTTCGGTAGTTGTACCTTGCTGAATTTGTCATTTCTTTGTTCTCATTGTTGTTTTCAAGCCCGAACATCTGCCGAACTTCCTTAATCCTCTTCTAAGCTTTGTCTATAGGGCATATTCTCTCTTCTTTGCTATCTTACAACCATCTCTTCGCTAAATTTGATGCTTTAAACACCTTCTAGGAATCCAATAGTAGTGTCAATTTTAGACTTAAGACTTTTTTTACAGTATAATTTAGTCCCTTATCGCATTAAATCCTTTTTTATCTTTCTTCATTTCAGCAATTGAGAGGGGTTGGTTGCGTGAAGTACTGCATGAAGTAAGTGCTGAGGATATTGCTCTCTCTTTATCATTTCAATAATTGTTGGGTTGCTGTTAATTATTGATTTGTAACTATTTATTTATTATTTATTGGACAGGCTTGATATGGAGTTCTAAAATTGGAAAAGGGTCTATTAGCATAGTATAAAGTCATTATATTATTTAACAAGTAAATGATAAATAACAAAATGACTGGCATAAGCCTAACCTTCATTGATAATAATGTGCAACAGAGATATAATAATCTGTTGAGTTCTTTCTTGTTTTTGCCACCTTTATCTAACGCATATATCTTTATATTTATGAATCTATATCTCTATATAAGAAGTGCAAGAAGTGGGGAAATAATTCTCTCAAGATATGAAGGAGAGGGATTCATTTTAAAAAGCTCTCTTAAAGTTTTTATTTTTTTATATTAAAAATATATCATGAATGATAGGTGGATTCCTTGAATAAATAAAAATTAACAAAAGAAACTCTTAAGCCAAATTATTTATTAAAATGTTTTTTATTAACCATACTTTCTGCTTTTGTCTCCTTCTCTCTCTTAATAATTTTTTTTTCTACAATAGAGGCAAGTCATGAATTGATGTGACTTATGGCTTGTAGTCATTTGAAATATAATTTTCATTGCGAGCAACATTGTTTAAGTCCATCTTCCATTAACCCATAAGCCCAAAGCTTATGTGACATTTTTTTAAAATTTATTATTTATTGTGGCATAATAAACAAATGTGGTTTTAAAAAAGGTTGCAACAAATTCTTTTGGGGTTATTGGGTGTTGGATGAATTAAGCTCAATTATTTTCTCTGTTCCACTTGTCTTTTAGATACATCGAGATTCTTTCATTTTTTTTCATTCTATTTTTAATATACGAAGTGTTGGAAATTGCTAATTTGAGTGCTTGATTAGGAAGAAATTTATTTCCTTCCCTCATAATATATTTCAATATTTATATTTATATTTCTATTTATTAGATATTTCCTAATTTACTATTTTCCTACTTGGTGTGATTTCTAATTTAAATGGATTCTGATTTCTTAATTTGTGGACCAGTATGTTAGCACTATTATATATATGTAAAATTCTTTTCTAGATTTTTTAATGGTATTTGAGCCACCGTCCTTATCGTCCATCTGAGAAGATCGTGGAGCCTCCGTTAACTCTTCGCTCTGTTTCAGCTTCATCAATTGTGTCGCTCGGCTCGCAGGACACACAGTTCTTCCTTGATATCGGTAACGCTTTCTCACGTATTCATGCTCCCAACGACAGAAAATCACTGCTCTTCAACACATGGAACTCTCTCGCTTGGTTCACTCAAAATTTTTCACCGTCACCTTTGTTCGTCACTCATAAGCAGCCCCAACCTCCTTCCTCAGTTCAAATAGATCTTAGATCATTCACCTTCTATTTGAACCCGCTCAGTTTGGCTTCACCTCTTCTTGGGTTTGCTAAAGTTGTGAAAGAAGCATCTTCCTCCCTTGGTTTTTTTCGAGAAGCGAGTTATTCCTCTTGATTTGGGCTTCCCATCAAAGAAATTGAATTGTATAACTGAGTTCTATTTTTGTTTGACTTCACACTCTTATCATAATCATCTACAACATGACCTCACAGTCATCTTCATCAGAAGTCATATTTAAATTTGAGCCTACATCTTCAATCTCTATTACACCGATAACTCTTCTTAGCTTGTCACGAGTCATAAACTATAAGGTCATAATTTTCTTCAATGGTCACGATCCATCTTCATCTATGTTTATGACAAAAAAAAATGTTGGATATGTCACAGGA